CTCCCGAGGCCGGGATGCCTCCCCGGAGCCCGGGGCTTGCGGTTGCCCCTCAGGGCTCAGTCACGCAGAAAGGCTGACTAAAGTCTGTGTCCCCCGCAAGAGCGGGACAATAGAGCCACCCTCCGGGTCACAGGTCACCTCCTCGCTGATTGAGATATTCGCCGCTTCCCCCCACCCCCTCCGCTCCTCGGAGGCGCGGGGGGATTTCAAGGGGGCGAGGATGCTCTCGGCCGGGCCGGGGTACCGAAGGCCCGGCTTCCTCATCCTCCTGCTCCCGACTCTGCACCGTGCCTCGTACCCATGGCTTTGCAGGGGACTTTTTCCCCCTTCCAGGGAGTGGCCTTCCCCGCGGTCACTCCGGTGCGTGGCCATTTAGGTGCGTGGGCATCCCCGGGCGCAGGGGGCGGCCCCGGCGCCCCGCAGGGCTGCGACCCCCGCCGTCCCCTGCCCCTGGGTTTGCCTCGGCCCCCTTCGGGGCGAGCGGACCCGTTTCTTCTGCAGCGCCTTTAACTCGTCCTCATGGCTTTCCCACTCGCTTCCGAGCCACACGCGTGTTTTCCACGCAGCTGAACGGTGATTTTCATTTTGGGGGGAGGAACTTCTCCCCATCGCCACCAAACGCGGCAGACCCCGGCCCGTGGGCGATGATGCCGGCGCCGTCCCGGCTCCCGGGGCTGCAGGACGGAGCCCGCCGGCACCTACATTTTCCTCGCCACTCAGGTCTTTCTGCTTGCCTCCGCCTGGCCTTTGATATTCCTCACCCCCTCCCCTCGCCGAAGTTCAGACCTGTTTACTCCAGCCCGTATCTCTGAAGTTCAAATGTACATGCGATCCCCTCCTCCGCTGAGTGACAGCTACAATGGAAAAGTCTCGTTCGCTCCTGGTTTGCATTTAATTACACTGGAGATGCAATATGTTTATGGCAGGAGAAAAACTACTTGTCTTTACGCTTGTTAAGGATATTAATTTATCCGCGATAGAGCGCGGTTTAAAAGCTATTTAGGGCGTATGAAGTGTTCCCCTCCCCGGCCGGCTCGCAGGTCGGCGCGGGGGGATTTTTGTTGCTGTTTGCCCGGGTTTGTTTTGCCTTTTCCTCCCACCCTCCCTGGAAGGGACGAGGGAAACCCCTTTCCCCCCCCCCCTCGGGGGAGGGGGCGAGGGACACCCGGGGGGCCGCCGCCCCCCCGCTCCCGGGGCCGTTGCCGAAGCTTCCCCTGCCCCTGCCC